TTTAAACTAGTTCACACATTATGGAAAACAGTATGGCGATTTCCTCAAGTATCTAGAACTAGAAGTACCATATGACCACGCCATCCCATTACTGGGTATATACCCAAGGATTATAAATCATGCTGCTTAAAGACACATGCACCGTATGTTTATTGCGGCACTATTCCACAATAGCAAAGCTTGGAATCAACCAAATGTCCATCAGTGACAGACTGGATTAAGAAAAGGTGGCACATAAACACCATGGAATACTATGCGGCCATAAAAAAGGATGAGTTTGTGTCCTTTGTAGGGACATGGATGCAGCTGGAAACCATCATTCTCAGCAAACTATCACAGAACAGAAAAACCAAACACCGACCACATGTTCTCACCCATAGGTGTGGAACTGAACAATGAGATCACTTGGACTCAGGGACAAGGGGGGAACTTCATTGTATCTGTGTTTGGTGTGGATATATGTGGTGTTGTCTTGTTGTGTGTTTGGGATGCAATGGGATGATATTGATAATAGATGTGGGTAATGGGTGCTGAACGGTGATGGTCAACACACCAACATGGCACAAGGGGGGGTGGAGGTAAGTGATTGTAACAAACTGCATGTTATGCACATCTGCCCTAGGAACTTAACAGTTATAGGATTAAACTCACTGAGATAGAATATAGACTAAGACCCTCCTCACACAGCGATTAGCCATTAACATTCGGATGCTGTCGCCGTTAGGTGTCCTGACTCTCTCTCTCAAATGAGTGCGTATTCTATCCAGGTTGTGACGTGACTGTCGCTAGATACTGGCGTATGTTGTGGTGTAGATGATAATAATTGCTGGATGGCCAAGGTGCTGTGTGAGAGTGAGTACATATTATCGTAGATTGCTATGATGTGGTCAGGCATGAAGCGGATATATGATCTTCTTGTTTGAAGAACACGTATCTGTTCATAATCCTTCTGCCCGAGCTTGTTGATGGGGTGCTTTGATTTTTCTTGTGAAATTTGTTTAATGTTCTTTGTGATTCTGGATTATTAGCCCTTTGTCAGGTATGAGATAGATTGCAAAAATTTTCTCCATGTCTTGTAAGGTTGCGCTGTCACGCTGATGGTAAGTTTCTTTTGCGTGTCAGCAGCCTCTTTAGTTGAATTATCAGCTTAGTGGTTCGCTTATCAGCTTCTTTACAGATATATGTGTGTGTATTTGTTGCCATGATTGACTTTGACATTGTAATATAATGTGATGAGAGTTTCCAAGTTGACTGCAAGAAATAGTATGTCGTGGGTGTGTCGTGTCGTCCCGTGTAAGGCTCTCTCCAATGAAGGTTGCTGTATGTTCAGGGCTCTTCTAGAGCGCTCTCACTTATAATATTCAGGAAGCAGCTCTGATTTTTTCAAATAGCTGGAGAAAGTGTAATCTCTATGGATGTATATAGTGCTTCGCTATACGTAAATTCAGAACGGTTTAGGAGATGTACGCGGAGTTCAGTATGTCTCGAAAATCAAGAGTTCCTTAATGTCTCGTATTTATTGGTCTATAACCAGGTATTCATCCCACGTGGAACTCTCACATTAGCTTGTAACATAGGGTAAAATACTCCTTCTCTTACAGATTTTTGTTTTTGTAGACTTTGTGGCTCTAATGTCACTCCGCTGGGTTGATAGAGTGGATCGTGGTGCTAGTTCATTAAAATCTAAGAAACTTTCTCCATAGTCCAAAGCGCTGTGGTACCAGTGGTAGCAATCATATCCTATATATCATAATGATCTGTCTTGTCAGGGTAATGGAAAGCATTACAGTCCGAATCATCCAAAATATTTCTTCATCAGGGGGTGATATCTCGTATATGCTCCAATAATCTTCTAATTCCAAATTATCCAAATCTACTTCTGAGTTCGAGTAAACTCGCAGAAAAAGAGGGATAATTAAGTTTACAGTACTGTTAAAAAGGGAAGGTTATCTTGTGGGGGTTCTTGATCCAAGTGAGACTATTTTCTAAGTCAAAAAAAAATCATCCATTTCAAGAGCCGCTGCTCTGAAACTTGATTTCGTCTCTTAGAAACCACAGATGGCCTATGTATTCTCCAAAATATTGATGGGGGGGAGTGAGGATGGGTAGAGGTGTATTTTTTGTGTGTTTGTAGTATGATTGGTCCTGACTATTCTTCTATGTTGGCTTGTTGTGGCTGATGGTAGTTTCTTTTGCTGTGCAGAAGCTCTTTAGTTTAATTAGATCCCATTTGTCTATTTTGGCTTTTGTTGCCATTGCTTTTGGCGTTTTAGCCATGAAGTCCTTGCCCATGCCTATGTCCTAAATGGTATTGCCTAGGTTTTCTTCTAGGGTTTTTATGGTTTTAGGTCTAACATTTCAGTCTTTAATACATCTTGAATTAATTTTTGTATAAGGCGTAACGAAGGGATCCAGTTTCAGCTTTCTACATATGGCTAGCCAGTTTTCCCAGCACCATTTATTAAATAGGGAATCCTTTCCCATTTCTTGTTTTTGTCAGCTTTGTCAAAGATCAGATGGTTGTAGATGTGTGGTGTTATTTCTGAGGCCTCTGTTCTGTTCCATTGGTCTATATCTCTGTTTTGGTACCAGTACCATGCTGTTTTGGTTACTGTAGCCTTGTAGTATAGTTTGAAGTCACGTAGCATGATGCCTCCAGCTTTGTTCTTTTTGCTTAGGATAGTCTTGGCAATGCAGGCTCTTTTTTGGTTCCATATGAACTTTAAAGTAGTTTTTTCCTATTCTGTGAAGAAAGTCATTGGTATCTTGATGGGGATGGCATTGAATCTTAGTTATACTTGCACAATTACCTATCTACCTTAACACTATGTTCATCACACAGAGATTATCTGATGACCTTTTGTCCACTTCCCCTACCCTTTTACTAAATTTCAAGCATTAATAGCTCTGTAATGGATGCTCTCAGGTCCCCCTAAATCCCTCCAGGACCAAAAAATTTATTCTCCCAGCTGCTAAGAGTGCTGTTGGCTGTCAGCCCTCTCCAGAAGTTTCCCTCTGCCAAAGAGGGCTGCTTTGCCCATGATTGAGCCCTCCCCCTTAAGGGCAGTTCATATCCATGACTAAAGGAGGATGTTGCCCCCAACCCCAACTCAGGACAATCCTGAGGGGGTCAACCCAGTTTCAGAGTTTCCTGTAGGGTCAGCCTAGGCCTTAGAAAGGACTTGATGGCAGTCCATCATCATCCTCTGCACAGTCCTGCTTCTCTCCCCCACAGGTGCTGATTCAGAGAATGTACCCTAACAAACTCCTGCACGTAAATCTCCACCTCAGAGTCTCTGCATCCCAGGATGTCAAGCAACTAGAACCATCAGTATCCATCAACTAAGAAACTACATATCTAAGGTTATTAAAGACACTTAGAGAGAGGGAAAATATTAGTTTTTTAAATTCAGAAATCTTGTAAATGGTACAAGCCTTCAAAAACCAGTAAAGAATATTACTTTGCTAGACAAACTAATGAAAACACACCAAAGCTGCTTCAGTAAGTTCAATCAATATTTTCTAATATTCCACCTTTAATAGTTCTAAATGACCCCAAACCAATCTTAAGAATGAACACAAAAACTAGCTTTTACTCTACGTACTTACATTACCATTTTAAAACTATTTACCCTTCATGTGAGGCTACTAGATAATTTGGCTAATTTAAAAATACACACATAGGTTTTCAGGGGGAGGTGGGGATGGCTAATGGGTACAAAAAATAGAAAGAATGAGTAAGACCTACTCTTCGATAGCATAGCAGGGTGATTACAGTCAATAATAACTTAATTATGCATTTTAAAATCAGAGTACAATTGGATTGTTTGTAACATGAAGGATGAATGCTTGAGGGATGGATACCCCATTATCTATTATGTGATTATTTTATATTGCATGCCTGTATCAAAACAGCTTATGTGTCCCATAAATGCATACACCTACTATGTACCCACAAAAATTAAAAATAAAAAACTTAAAAATATAAACAGGCAAACAAATAAATACCAACAACCTGGAGAACAAGAAAAATAATCCTGTCACTCACTTGTTCTTTCAAAAACAAACCCTATTTAAAGATTTTTCAAGTCTAAATCTTCTGATTACAAAAGTAGAGAGTAAGGGAGAAAAGAGAAGGAAGGAGAGATTTTCCCCTTTACTTTAACACATACTCATCTCTCTTTCAAAGACTACAGGCTAGTCTTTTTTAAGCCACATTAAAAAAAGAACATGTGTCCCATACTACATTTTTTTTTTTTAAGGAAACTTA